GCATAAATCAGGCTAAGCATAAGATAAATTTTTTTAAAAAAAAAGTTTATAAAACTTAATAAAAATACAGGACAAAAAGACAAATAAGAAAAGTTTAAAAGGATTAAAAGACCCGCAGAATTTGGAATACTGGAACTTTTGCTAAGATTTTTGAAATACCTTTTGCTAAGATTTTTGAAATAATAAGAAAAATAAAATAATATATTTGTGGAAACTCAGATTGTTTAGTCTATCAGAAAAGAAAAATTGGTTGAAATTTGAATATTTAAAAAAAAAATCTGAAAATTTATAGAACTTAGACACTAGGAAGACTAAAGTGCCAGGGAAAAAGCAAAAAAAGAGACAAACTTAATTTTTATTTTGGATTCAAAAGAAAAACATTGAAACTTAAAAAATAACAAATGAAGATATGACACTTGAAACATTTCAAAGGATCCTTGAAGAACTGGGAGAGAAATGTATAGCTAAACTAATAGCAATAATTATCGTACCTACTTGTGTGCAGTATTAGCATTCGTTTGCTGATCCTAAACAGCAAACAATTAAAAAGAGTGGAAGAATTTACAAACTGATTGAGTGAAGAGGTGAAAGAAATTCCAGCTGATAAACATTGGGAAATAAAAAAAAATGTGGATTTTATATCAGAGATGACAATTATAATGGAAATACAAATAATAAGCCAAGAGATGAAAAATGACTTGGACAAAGACTCATTAATGCATTTATACAAGAGTGTTTTTAAACTTTTGAAGAAATTTTTGAGACAGGAGGAAAAAATTTTGAAAGGAAATTCAATCCCATGACAGCAACTTGATGAATTAAAGATCAAGACTGATATAATTTATTTGATCTGAGTAGAATAAAAAATACTGTAATGAAAATCTTCATGCGCTTTTTGCCATGGGTAGAAATGACAATGATTTTTAGACTTATGAATGTAAAGGCAGGATTATGGGAAGAAATAGATTATGTAATTTTATAGGAGGTGGGGATATATTAAATTTGCTTGTACTTATTGCAAAGAAGATAGGAGTCACTTCTATAAATATTCTGTTTTCAATTCCTTTTCTTCTTTCTTTTTAAAGTTTTGTTTTCTTTTGCACTTTGTTTTCTTTCTACTTTTTTCTGTTTGGCAGTTTGTATTTCAGTATTTTTAAAATCCTTTAAAAAAAGGTTTTTTTTTAAAAAAAAGCAAGCTGTTTTATGGTAGTGGCGCTATATAGCTTTTTTTCTAAAATAAACTTTAGCATTCTAGGTGTTAATTATAATCCTGTTTTTAAAATTATTAACCAGAAGCATTCTGATTATTGTTATTAAGCAACTTCCTTAAATGGAAGATTAAACATTTTTCAAAATATAATGATAATTGCTTAATTAAGAGTTGCTGTGATTATAGCACTTTGACTTGATATACTATAATTATTTGTAATACAAGCAGATAACCGTTACATTTAATGCTTAATTTTTTAAAAAACTCTCTGCTGCAAAGGTAATCTTCAATGTATGCTAAAATGAGATTGATGCACCTGGATTAATACTGCTATTGAAATGACATGACTTTTCCAGCAAGCTTTTAAAAATCAGATTTTATCTGGTAGCATAAATAAAAGGACTTGATGGCCTGATCATGCTATAAACTCCTATAACTATAATATTGTGAATGAATAATAGTAACTCCACAGTTAATCCTTGCTTGAAAGCAGCCTGATTGATTTGGTCCAATTGGTTGATGAAAGATAGTTAATTTCTACAGCAGTGTTTCTTGAGTTTGGCAGCTTAAAGATGTGTAGACTTCAGCTCTCAGAATTCTCCACCCAACAGGCTAAGAAATTCCTGGAGTTGAAGTCCACACATCTTTAAGTTGCCAGAATTCAGAAATCCTAACCTTATGCCCATTCACAGGAATTGAGTAAAAGTGAAAAATGAAGGGTTAGGTTTTGAACCAAGAATGGTATTAAAAAAAGATTAAAAAAATATAAGCAAGTAAAAGTAGAGTTGCCAACTACTCAGAAGCTCAGTGTGTAAAAACTGGCAATTGGACTTCTTTCCCAGCATGGAGATCTGCCTCCCAGATGACATTCCCATTGATGTCACAGCAGCAGGAAATCAAGTACAAAATACTAGCACAATAGCAAGCAGTAGCTGGAAGCAGCAGGATAGAAAATTGAGGAAACCTGATGGAGTGATGTGGCTGAAGGCGAACGTTATGCAAACATGAAAAAATATTAACTGGACAGACTTCCAGTTTTGGGTTGCAGTGACTGCAGGTACACGAAGAGGCTTCTCTCTTCGTTATCTGCCTTTCCTCTGCCAGTAGACCCTTAATTGGGTCAAAAATTCACCCTAGAGGGGTGACTATGAGGAGGACTCTCGTTGGTTGCGGGGGGAGGAGGCAGCTCCTCAGGGCCGACGAACAAAAGATCGGCCAGTAACATGGCCGATCATTTAGCTGCTCCAGCCAAAAGTCAAAAGTGTTAAGAAACCATCATGGATGATCCCGGTGAGACTTTTCCCTCTCTCTTTTTGCCTAACTACTCTCCTGTTAAAATCGTTTTGGACTTACTTGCCTGCTTTGAAAGAGCTGCCTTTGTTTATCTGGGGAAAAGAGTGTTCCATAATAAAGGAAAAAACTTTTTATTGACTATTTTTATTTTTGGTTACTTGGGGGCCCTGGAAAAATCCTTATCATAAAACTTTATTATTATATCTTCTAAGCTGGAGAATATTGTTTTCCTATGTCTTGGACTTATTGTTTGAAAAAAAAACCACAACTCTATAAGAAGCTGGAAAAGAGATTTCATAGTTTTTTGACTTTGCTAATCTAATTCTTGGTATCTTGGAAGACTTTCATAGTTTACTGAGGACTTCTTGTGGAGAAATTTAAAACTGCAACCACTTCTTATTTGTGTTACTACTGAAATGGAGAAACCATATTCACAACTCAACTGTAAACTCATACTGGAAAAAATTTATGAAGCTACTGAGGAAATATGTTCCCAAATAACAGAGAAAACTGCAGAAATAATAAACAGAAATTCTACTGTGAACTTACAAACTGACCTTCAGACTCTATTTGATCATTCTACAGACCAAAAAGCAATAGAAGAGGAATTAATTTACATACAACCTATGGAGACTTTGGATGACCAGAAAATGTAACTAAACTATCTTCAATTGCAAAACTAACAAAAATAGACTTGAAATTACAACTGTTGGAGAATTATGACAACTTTGATAATCATCTACTAATTATAAAATTGGATATGATCGAGTGTTTTATCCAGCAGACAGGAGCCAGGCATCAAAAACAGAGGATGGGAGGTCTTTTATTGACCCAAATGACATTACAAGCAATAACGGGAGATCTATTTGCTGAAATAGAGGCTTTGTTATGGAAACCTGATTGGCATAAAAAAGAGAGCCAGAATAAGACTAAAAAGAGAGATTTAAAATTATATGTAATGGATTTAAAAGGTTTTGAGAAATATGGATTGATTTAAGGACTAAGATTTAGAGTTGAAAATTTGTGATTATTAGAATATATATGTTAAACAGAGTAAGAATGTACTTTTTGGAATAATATGTTTATTTGTATGAAAATTATTTTGTAATGGAATGAGAATAAGAATATGAAAGAGGTTTTTAGAAATTCGGATTGCTTTAACAACTAATTGAGTGTGTTAAGTTAGTAAGATGATGTTTTGTGTAATAATAGGTGTGTACTTTTTTTTAAGACATGATAATTATTTGAATGAGATTTAAATGCTATCTGAAGAAATAAGAGAGATTTGTGATAAAATCAATGATTTATGAGATTATGAATTAGAATATATTTGGATTAGTATTTTAGAAGGGATACCCGAAGTGATAATACGTTTATCTAAGATTAAATTGGACTATGGTAACTGTAAATTAATAAAGTTCAAAACAGGATTAGGATTTATAGATATGTAATGAGGAAATGGATTATATTAAATAGGTTATATTATTTGAGGGAAATAGAGAGGGAACATTTAATGTATTTACTTGAGCTATTATATGATTTTGTTTTTGGATGATTAATCACCTAACCGCCATGGTGTGTCTTTTAACCAATAAAATTTGTTAAAAAAAATATTAACTGGACTGACTAAAATATTGCAGAAAAAACTTTGGCTTTGCGACTATAAATATTTGTTTGTTGAGTTAGTTTCATATTTAAATGAAAAAAAATCAGAGCAGCTACATAGAATATTTTTTGTGTAGGTTACGGCTTTCCATATGAAGCCCACATTTTTGTTCCATCAATATATGACTCACTTATAATCATATGTGTGCAAGAAGCCATCCTGCTTTTATATACACCTAGCTATGCATAATAAGTGGTGGCAGCATAACCTTTATTGGAGTCAAATTGGACTAAATGAACTTCTCACACTGATTTGTGGCAGAGAGTTTGTTGATTTGCTTTGACCCAGAACAGGCATGTCAAACTTGCGATGTCACGTGATATCACACGACATATTGTGACTTTTTTCCCATTGCTGGCAATGGGGTGGGCGCGGTTTCGGTGTGACACATCCGGCCCACGGGCCGGCAGTTTGACATGCCTGACCCAGAATTACAAGAAGGCTTGGTGTGATCCTCCATTCTTTATGCCTTCTGTTATACAAGGGAGCTCTGTTGATTCACAAGACCTAAATTATTGGAGATATTGTAAATATTAAAAAAAAGTCCTGGTGGCGCAGTGGTTAGAATACAGTACTGCAGGCTAATTCACTGCTCACAGCCTGGAGTTCGATCCTGACAGGCTCAAGGTTTACTCAGTCTTCCATCCTTCTGAAGTCGGTAAAATGAGAACCCAGATTGTTGAGGGTAATATACTGACTCTGTAAACTACTTAGTGTGTGCTGTAAAACACTACGGAGTGGTATATAAGTATAAGTGCAGTTGCTATTGCTATTTTAAAAAGTAAGATTTCATAGTCCTAAGGTTTTTCCTTTCTCCTTTGATCTCCACAGGACCCAGGGACTCCAAGTGAAAACTGAAAACTAGTCTGTCACGATGGGTGAAATAGAGCAGATGAAGCAGGAGGCTGAACAGCTGAAGAAGCAGATTGAGGTAATGCTGAGAACAAGAGGGAAATGGCGGAGATGGGGCCGTTTTCCTCCCCTTTAATTGAGGATAAAAGCTAGCCTATGAAACCCTCATTCATATTTCATCTATAAAATCATGAGAAATCTCTTCAGCCTTAGCTCCCTATCTGCAACATTGAGAATGGTATCTCACACAATTATTTTAAAGATTACAACATGGATAATGCACATTAGTCAGTGGTGGATGAGATTAAACCTGTAAGCACCATATTCCTGAAGATACCCTTGGGAGCCTCCCAGCTTCCCTGCTGTGGCTCTACAGGCTGTTCTTATTTTTATTTATTTTTATTTTTAGCCAGTCTGCTCTAGTGGTGAAGGTGCTGGCCTAGAAAACAGGAGACTGTGAATTCTAGCCCCACTTTAAGGCATGAAAGCCTGCTGGGTGACTCTTTCTCAGTCCAATCCACCTCACAGGGTTATTGTGGTGAAAATAGAAAAAGGAAGGAGTTTTAGGTATATTCACTGCCTTGGGTTATTTATAAAGTAATAAAAGCAGGATAAAAATCAAATAAATAAATAGAGTATAAATCTTGCACATTACAAAGCAAAATGCTATTGTGTTTCTACTATATCGTAGACTGTCTCTGGGCCCAAATGGGCTCCTTAGAAAACAAAAGTGGGGCTTGTTGCACACTGCTACTTTATTGCACCAGTATACCCTTTCACCCAGGCACACACACACACACACACACACACACACACACAAACACACAAACACACACACACACAAATGAAACTGGAGAAAGAAAGACACTGAAGGAAAAAGTGACTTCTGATTGAGTGATAGGTGTTCTCTGCTCTTAATGATAAAAAAAAGGTTGGGTCACAGATTAGTTAGAAACTGCTTCATAAAGGATAGAGGGTAGAAATACTGGGGGTATAAAAATATCATCTCTTGCCTTCTCTCTTTCAGGAAGCTCGAAAAGCTTGTGCTGATACTACACTTGCTCAGGTAGGATATGCTAACAGTACATTACTCTGTTTAAAATAAATTTGCCTGAATGGGTAAGTCTAACATAAAGAATTCAAGAGAACTGCAGGTTCAGCAACTGACTTGATACAGCCCATTAGTGAAAACCTTTTGGAATAGGAGCTAAATTTCTTTTTCCACGAATAGCTTGTTGCTGACATGGAAGTGGTTGGGCGCATACAGCTGCGGACAAGGAGAACTCTGCGTGGACATCTGGCCAAGATCTACGCTTGTCACTGGGCCACAGATTCCAAGTAAGTAATGGTATATAGCAGTGTTTCTCAATCTTGACAACTTTAAGATGTGTGGACTGCAACTACCAGAATTCTGGGAACTGAAGTCCACACATCTTAAAGTTGTGAAGATTGAGAAACACTAGTTAGTATATAAGAAAAAGACAGGTGGTATTTTTCCTTGCTATCTTATTCCATTGAGTCTCTTCCCAGTGACCCAGCCCAGCTAATCAAACAAATTAGCTGACCAAAGACTCTTATTAGCTGTGCTATTCTGAGAAGGAGAGAATTGCCGTTTGCCTTTTTCAATTTATCCCTTTTGAATCCTTTTGAATTTTGGGACAACTCATGCCTTTCATAAAGTTATTTCCTTTAACTCTACTCATCTCCAACCAAAATAGGAATAATAATTAATTAATCGCATTTGTACTTTAATTTTCCTCCAAGGAACTCAAGGTAGCATATCTCATTTTTTTTCTTTTGAACTAGAAAGATTAGCTTAGGTAAGATGTTCATCTTAACGGTCGCTATCCTTCCTAATAATGATAATTGAAATTCTTTCCACTTCTCCAAGTCCGCTTTTATTTGTTTTAGTAATCTCTCATAGTTGTCCTCTTTTACTGTTGTATATTTTGATGTTAAATGGATACCTAAATATTTAACTTTTTTAGCTATTTGAAGATTTGTCTTTTTAGCAAGTTGGATTTTTTGTTTGTCTGTTAAGTTTTTTGTTAATACTTTAGTCTTTTCTCTATTTATTTTCAGCCCCGCCACTTCTCCAAATTTCTCTATTTTCTGCAAAAGTTTAGTGGCTGTTTCCAGTGGCTCCTCCAAAATAAAAACCAAGTCATCTGCGAAGGCCTGTAATTTATATTTCTGGTCTTTTATCTCCAATCCTTTGATCTCCATGTCTTGCCTAATATTCCTAGCCAACACTTCCAATGTAAGAATAAATAACAAGGGAGACAACGGACATCCCTGTCTTGTGCCTTTTTTGATTTCAAAGCTGTCTGTGTAATCTCCATTTAAAAGTATCCTTGCTAATTGTTTATTGTAGATTGCTTGAATTGCATTTATAAAGTTTTCACCAAACTCCATCTCCTTCAACTGTTGGAACATAAATTGCCAATTGAGATTGTCAAAAGCTTTTTGTGCATTGAGAAATATGAATGCCAACTGTTTCCCCAGATTGTTTTCGTAGTATTCCAAAACATTTAAAATGATCCTTAGATTATTCTTTATCTGCCTTTTAGGCAGAAAGCCATTTTGGTCCAAATGGATAAATTCAGTCAAGAATTTCTTCATTCTTTCTGCCATTATTGCAGTAAATATTTTATAATCCACATTTAATAACGATATTGGTCTATAATTTTTGATTTGTATAAGATCAGTATCTTCTTTGGGTATGAGGGAAATATTGGCTTCTATCCATGAATTTGATATTTTTATCTCTGAAAGAGTTTTGTTACAAAGGTCTTTCAAGATCGGGCTTACTATGTCTTGTAAAGCTACGTAAAATTCTGCAGGGAGACCATCATGTCCCGGAGTTTTATCCTTCTTTTGTTTTTTTATTGGCTCTGTGATCTCCATCATTGTTATCTTCTCATTTAACATGTATTGCATATTCTCTGATACCTTTGGGAGATTCGCTTCTTTTAAATAGTCCTGTATTGCCTCATTCGAGACCACCTCAATCTTATAAAGTGTCTCATAGTAAGCTTTAGTAATTTTTTTGATTGCATCATTGTGGCAGTGTAATTGGCCCTTTGAGTTTTGTAGCTTACTTATCAGCCTTTTTTCTCTTTCTTTTTTCAGTTTGTATTCAAGCCATCTTCCCAGTTTATTGGCATTTTCAAAAAAAGTCAGTTTAGATCGTTTAATCTGTTGTGCCCTTGTATCCATCTCCAGTAGGTTTAATTTATGCCTTATAAGTTCCATTTGTGTCTTCAACTTTTTCTTTTGTGGATCATTTCGTAACTCAAATTCCAAGTTACAGAGTTGTTCTTTCAGCCTAAGCTGTGTTTGTTTCTTTTCTTTATTCTTTTTGGCAACATAAGTTATAGCCAAACCTCTAAAGTAAGCTTTTGCTGTATCCCATACATTTTGAATGGAGGTTTCTTCTTTCTTATTTATTTTTTAAAAAAATTCCATTTCTTTCGTTACTGATTGTAAAAATTCTTTTTCTTTCAATATGGATTTATTCCACAACCATCTTAATTTCTTCCTAGTTCCTTTCCAAATCATTTTAATTGGATTATGACCTGCCCAAATATTAGGTTCCATTTCAATCTCTTGTATCATAGTTTTTCAATTATAAGAAGTCCATATCATATCAATTCCTGACCACGATTTATGCCTATTTGAATAAAATGTATATTGTGCTTTGTCTGGATTCATTTCTCTCCATGTATCTTGTATACATAATTCATCTTTCATCCTTAAGAAGGGTTTAGGTAGGGTATTTCCCCCTTTTTTCCCTTGTTTGTTGCTTTTATAATCCTGTTTTGCGTCAGCTATTGCATTAAAGTCTCCAAGTAGACAAAGATTTGATAGTTTAATTCCACTAGTTTGTCATGTAATTGTTGAAAAAACTGATCTTGCTTCTCATTGGGGGCATATATCGCAACCATCAAAATTTGTTTTTGATTCCATGTAATTTCCACCATTAATAGTCTCCCTTCATCTTCAACATAGATTTGTTTTGAAATCATCTTTTCTTTTATATAAAGAGCTACCCCTCTTTTTTTTTTTGCAATGCCAAAGAAAAATAAAGTTTGGTTGTTCTAAAAATCTAAAGCATTGTCTTTTAATATGTGTCTCTTGAAGACAAATTATGTCCATTTTCAATTTTTGTAGTCTATAAAATATTTTACTCCTTTTTGATGGGGAGTTAAGATCATTTATATTTGTTGAAAAAATTCCAATCTCCTCTATGATTTTAGTTGTATCTAGAACTCAATCTTCTAGGAGAACTTATCTGCCTCTGATCTTTGGGCCTTACATCTTCCTCTGATTGGGTCTTTTTAGGTTCTTCCTTCTCCATTTCTTTCGATGCTTCTGCACCCGTCATTTCCTCTGGTTTCTTACATTCAACATCATCTTTTTCCAGAAAAACTCTATGATTATTGAAAAATTCCTCTGCTTGAAGTGGGATATCCAAGCTATATCTTTTCGAGTCCCAAAAGATTAATAATCCTTCTGGGACCAACCATCTAAAATTCACTCCTTTATTAAACAATTTTCTTGTTAAAAATTGATATTCTCTTCAGGCTTCTCTTGTTCTTTTGGGAATCTGTTTAAGAACTACAAGTTCTTTAACTTTATATTTCAGTGGTTGGTCTCTTATTGCTCACAAGATCTCATCTTGTGTAAATCTTTTCAGGAATTTTACGTGGACCTCCCTAGGAACTCTATATCTTCTTGTGTAGCTTGAATTGACTCTAAAAACCTGATCCATTTCTTGTTTCATTTGGTCCATTTCCATTCCAAGTAATTCCGCCAATAGCTCGCTCATCAACTCTAACAAGTTCTCATCCTTCTCTTCTATAATATTTTGAAATCTTAAGAAGTATGATGCTCTTTCCATCTCCATGACGGCCATGCTGTCTTCCAATTCCGCATTAGCTTGCACCAGTCCACAGGTCAGCAATCTGCAGCTCCAGAGCCGCATGCGGGTCTTTGATCCTTCCCCTGTGGCTCCCAGCCTCCTCTGCCATTTGCAGAGAGAGACAGAGACAGAGAGAGGCACTTGCATTTCCCTTCTCTCTCTCATTCTCTCTCTCCCTCTCTCTCTCTCTCTCTCTGTATGTGTGTGTAAAAGAGAGTAGCTTCACCCTGTTCGATCAGCCAACAAGCTTACTGGGCGGGGCTCCTGCCTTGGCTGCATCTCTGCAGGAAGCAGGAAATAGGAAGCAGGAAGGGCAGGAGAGAGCTAGCTAGCCCACCTATGCTGACTCAGGAATTCTGGGAGTTGAAGTCCATGAGTCATAAAAGAGCCGAGGTTGCCTATCCCTGAGCTTGTTGGAGAACAGCTTGAAGCCAGCTTGCCAGGTGAGCAGAAGATCGGAGAGAGGGAGTGGGGGAGAAAGAGAGAGAGTGTGTGTGAGAGAGAGAGGGAGAGAAAGAGAGAGGGGGGGAGAGAAAGAGAGAGAGGGGGAGAGAGATAGTGAAAGAAAGAGAGTGGAGGAAGAGGACTGGCAGACCAAGGGTAGAGAGAGGGAGAGAGAGACAGAGAGACAAAGAGAGAGACCCTTTTGACATCTAAAATGAAGATAACACTGCATATATCCTTTTTTACCTGTATGATTATATGTATGTATGTATGTATGTATGTATGTATGTATGTATGTATATGTAAAAAAGGATATATGCAGTGTTATCTTCATTTTAGATATCAAAAGGGTTTTGCGGCTCCCAATGTTTTGTTCTCGGTGGGAAATGAGTCCAAGTGGCTCTTTGACTGTTTTGGGTTGCCTACGCCTGCACCAGTCTCTGATTTTCATCTTGCAAGGTTTCTAATTTCTGATCAACCAACAATGACTTATCTTCTATTTTTTTGCATTCTTTGTTGAGTATCTGTCATCGCCTGTTGAAAGGTTTCCATTTTTTAATCCATTTTAAGAAGATCATTTTTCAAATCTTCATAATTTTTTTCCAAATCTTTTTTCATTTCCATTTTGAAATCTGTGATTGCTTGGAGTATCGCTTGAGTATCTTTTTGTTGAGTTTCCTGTTGTAAAAATGCAGTAATTGATTTTTGTGGGGCTGGGCTTACCGAGGTTGAGGCGGGGGCTGAGGAGCCCTTCCTCACCCCTTTAGCCAAATTTGAAGCATTCATCTTCTAATTGTTGTATTTATTTATAATCCACTAAGGAGGCCGATGGCTAATTATAATCCACCAGGCGGCCCGATGGCCAATTGTAATCCAGTGCCCTCCTATTGTCAGGAGACAAGGCCAGACATGATTTAAAAAAAGAAAAAGAAAAAAAAAACAATTCCAATGAGGAGATAATTAAAAAAAGAAAGAGAAAAAACTTCCACAACCATACAAAAAGGAGAAAGAATAGAAAAAAGAAACAAAAAAAGAACAAAAAAACAGGGCAAGGTCTCAAAAAAAGAGGAGTAGTGATGTATTTATATCCAAAGGACAAGACCAAAAAAAGAAAAAACTAGACGTAGAAAAGGGGAAAAATAGAAAGAAAACCAAAAAAAGACAAAAATAAAAATTATATAAAAAAAATTATAGGGAAGAGAAAAAAAATCAGTATCCAATTTATGATCCAATTACAGATTTACAGATTTATTCCACAGCTGAAAAAAACCCCAAAAATAAATTCTTCTTTTGTAATTTTCTTTGCTATAGGGAATATACAGCTGGCCAGAAAGGCCAGACACACAAAGAAAAAAATCTCAGTAACTTTTAAGAGAGATAGGGATGTCTGAGCATGCAGCCAAGTGTCTGGGCATTGAGCCAAGTATTGCAGCTGAATAAACAAAGCTGCTAGAGAACAGAGAGAAAAAAAGTTACAATGTGGCCACCAGGGGAATGCTGTCTCTTTCCCCAGACATTTGAATAAGGAGGGGAAAAAAGTATTCAAGGGTGGAAACACAGTTGTAAAGTTCTTTAAAGTTCTAATAAGAAAAAAAAGCAGAAAAAAAGCAGTTAGGGTGCTTTCCCCACTTAATATGTCTTTCCTTTCCTTCCCAAAATGAAATTATTTCTCCAGTTAAAAAGTTTTAAAATAGTCCAAATTAATTCTCCTTAGTAAATGTCACTTAAACTGCTGTTTACATGGGAGGGGGGGGACAAAAACCCTCCTCCTTCCTCCCTTCAGACTTCCAGCTTCAGGTTAAAGACAGGCTATTTTTTTCAGTAAAGTCCATTTTACAAAGAGAGAAGAGATATAATCTCACCCGGCCCGGCTGCTTGCTTTCCAAATCAGCTGTTTTCTATCTCCGACGATCAGCTGTTAATGGCGGCTCACATAAATGCGATCCACCTTTCTTTTGCTGGTTCCAGGGGCTGCTTTGGGTTTGGCAAGCTGGCTACCACCGGCTCCCATTCCTCAAAGGTTCGCCCTTTGGTGGCCACCCCTCCAGGGTGGCATTTAGCCCAAATGGGCCTGCCAGCAAAGGAATTTCGGACCCAGGGAATTGAGAGTCGTTCCCCAGGGTCTACAGTCAGCAACGTCACCGGAAATCCTCCTCCTTTTATCAAGATCACTGTTTTGCAATAGAAAAACAGTAATCTTGACCATATCAATGTCCATCGAAGGACTATAGTTAAAACTTCTTTCTTCCAGTGATCCTTAATTAGTTTTGTTTGAGGAATATGGGAGGAAGAACAAAAAGGAAAGAGAACAAGAAATAAGCCTGTGTGAATTGGCAGGCAGCAATTCTCTCCTTCTTTGAATACCACAGATAATAAGAGTCTTTGGTCAGCTAATTTTTTGAGTAGCTGGGCTGGGTCACTGGGAAGGGACTCAATGGAATAAGATAGCAAGGAAAAAATATCACCTGTCTTTTTCTTATATACCAGTGTTTCTCAACCTTGGCAACTTTATGAACTGGCCAGTAATCATGACAATAATTGCACATGACTACCTGGCCTGAAAGATCCCTTCCCTCTCCCACCATTATGCCACTCACTACCAAGTCCATATGCCTATGGAACCACCAAATAATTCATTCCAAAGAGATCAACCCTCCACTTGCAAAGTTGGTTATCTCTGCTGTACTTTTCCATCGTTTGAATCATTCAACAACCTGGAAATATTTATTAGAATGAGAGATAATGCCGAGCCTAAAATCATCAAGTAAGTTTCTAATAGAAGAGAATATGTATAGCTCAGGGTTGAACTATGGAGTACTTGGTGCTCTCAGAGCTTGGTTGTGTGCTAGCAGACATTTCATTACTAAACTAATATGATGTTACTTCGTTGGGCAATGAAACATCTGCAAACAAACAACTGAGCTTAGAAAGCACCAACAACTCTATAATAAGTTTCTTTACAAGTCTTTATAAAATATACATGGTACATTTCATGAAGACTATACTATTAAATGTAAAATGGTTATGATACAATAGGAGGAGCAGCAAAATGAATAATTCTGCAAACTGAACCATACTTGTAATTCCCCCATATACACTTCTACGTTCCCATCCCTTGGCTATGAATACTTTACTATAAGATGGAGAACAAACTTTGCTATAAGATGAAGTACAAAATCACCTTGAAAGTGCATTGTATGAGAAGTTAGGGGTGAAGAGGTGGACCTGGTGAATTTAACCTTCAGATCCCAATTGAGCATGCATGATAACACCTTTCTTCTCTTATAGACTTTTGGTCAGTGCTTCACAAGATGGAAAACTCATTGTATGGGATACTTATACAACCAACAAGGTAGGAGATACATAAGCAAATAGATGCTATGTCTAGAATTTGTTAGCAAGCAATGCTAGGAATGAAAAGTGGCTGCTAGCATTTTGCCTCTGAGTTTACTTTCTAGTAATGAAGCTCTCCTACTATAGCTGTTGCTTTTCTCACTTCTGACCAAGAAACTAATGGTGGATTTCTGCCCTACTCTTTAATTACAGGTTCACGCCATCCCTCTCCGGTCTTCTTGGGTCATGACCTGTGCCTATGCTCCATCAGGGAATTTTGTGGCCTGTGGAGGTCTTGACAATATGTGCTCCATCTATAACCTCAAAAGTCGTGAAGGAAGTGTGAAAGTGAACAGGGAGCTCTCAGCTCACGCAGGTAATTGTTTGTTCTAAGACTAGGTCTTGGTGAAGCTATAGCTACAGTCCATGAAAAAAAAGCAAACCAAAATATAATATTGCAACAAGAATGGATGAGAAAGTCTGTAGCTTCCATTTTAAACAAACATATTTTTGTAGGAATAAAAAATGAGGAATAAAAAAGAAGATTTACACAGTGTTGCTCCAATAGTGGAAAGTTGGTTGCAAGCTTATGGATATTGACTAACATCTGGATTAACATCTCAGAAGCCAGAGACTGCTGGATAGGATGTCTGATGGTTCCATGTGACCAGCAGAAGCAGGCTAAAAGATAATTATTTAAATACAAATAGAATTTTGTAGAATAAAAAATTCTCATTTTTTGAGCCTCATAATGACTATGTGCTGCAAAACCCAGCTTCTATTGACAGAAAAACAAAATATTTCTGGAAAAGATAATAAAATGTGTCCTTTATAAGTCTTTTTCCTCTGTAAGAAAGAAACCTCTATAAGTCTCTTTCTTCCCTTCAACAATATTCCTCTTCTCTTACTCCTGCTCTACAGGCTACCTTTCTTGCTGCCGATTCCTGGATGACAATAATATTGTAACTAGTTCTGGGGACACCACTTGGTGAGTACTTCTATCTATGGTGTATGAACTGGCCAGCAAGTAACCATATGGGTACCCTTAGTACCATGTTTCCCCGAAAATAAGATCCAGTCTTATTTATTTATATTTTGCCTCTAAAAGATGCACCGTGTCTTATTTTTTGGGGGGGGTGTCTTTTCCACTCACCTCCGGCACCAACAGCCTTGCCCAGCCGGCCCACTTCCTCTGCAGCTGAAGGAGCAGCTTCATTCTGCAGCCAAGAACCGAGCTACAGATTGAATCTATAGCTCAGTTCTTGGCTGCAGAGGCCTTCTGGAAAGGCCTCTGATGGCAAAATGCAGGCCCAAGCTCCATTCTCAGCTGCAGAATGAAGCTGCTCCTTCAGCCGCAGAAGAAGTGGGCCAATGAGTCAAGTGTCAATCCATGGGAGTCCTGGCTGCAATGGTAAGCTCCACCCTCACCCTAGCTTGATTTTTAGGCATCACCTCACCCCAAAACTAGGGCACATTTTTGGGGTAGGGCTTATATTAGGCCCACCCCCAAAAATCAAGCTAGGGCTTATTTTTGGGGTAGGTTTTACTTTCAGGGAAATGATATTTAGCAATAGCAATAGCATTTAGACTTATATACTGCCCCATAGTGCTTTACAGCACTTTTGCCCTCAACTGTTTGGGTCCTCATTTTACTGACCTTGGAATGGAAGGTTGAATAAACCTTGAGCCCTATCAGGATCGAACTCCAGACAGAGGGCAGAGTTTGGCCAGTTTGGGTTAGAGAAGCTAAGGGAGGACCAAATATCAATGTTTGTTCCAAAACGTTAAGACTCTGCTGGTGGCATTTCCTTGCCTCATCCATATTCTTCTTTTTAAGGGAATTCTAGCTGCTGCTTTCTTTTTTTTAAGTGTCATTTGCATGCTCATTGCATGATGTCATCTCTATTTGGTCCTAAGGGATCAATGGGAATAGCTGTTTTGATCAAGCTCTGACCACAAACTCTGGCACTGCTACTTCCTTTTTATGTCATCCCCTAGAAGGTTCTGCCAAGCATAGACACTCAACCTAGGCCCCATCAGTAAAGAAAAAGGTCTGCTGTATTTTGCTGCATGAACAGGAAAAATTGATGAAAAATGTTTAGCTCTGCTAGCTTCCATAATCTATTGAGTTATTCTGCCTCTCAGTCGCTCACTCCCATTTGGCACTGTCTGTGGGGTCAAGAGGTCAGTTCTGGTTGCTCTTCCAATAGAGAAGAAGTGATTAAGATATCCTTGGTTGAATTTAACTTTAAATCAATATGACCAAACTGCATAATGAGAGGACATTTTTGCAATTAGGAGGCTGTTCATAAGCACATATTTAAATAGAAGAAAAATAGGAGAAAGATTTTTTGGCTATGTTTGCTGTCTTGAATTATTTGTAAAAATAATAAAGTCAGGGAAGGAAGGAAGGAAGGAAGGAAGGAAGGAAGGAAGGAAGGAAGGAAGGAAGGAAGGAAGGAAGGAAGGAAGGAAGGAAGTGAGGAAGAAGGGAGGGAGGGAGGGAAGGAAGGAAGGAAAGAAAGGAGGGAGGGAAAGAATATTCTATTTTCTGTATTATTCCCCCTGAGTTTATAGCAATTTTATTGTTAGATTACTTTTGAATACAGCTGCCTAGATCTGTAAGTATTTCAAACCTGTATCATATGGAAAGATTATCAAAATAGCAACTCACTGCAGCCTAAGCAACTTCTTCTCCTTACAGCATGCTGTGGGATATTGAGACAGGGCAGGTGAAGACCACATTCATAGGACACACTGGGGACTGCATGAGCCTGGCTGTCTCTCCGGACTTCAAGCTTTTCATTTCAGGAGCCTGTGATGCCAGTGCCAAACTGTGGGACATCCGAGAAGGAGTTTGCCGTCAGACATTTACAGGACATGAATCAGATATCAATGCAATTTCAGTAAGTTTCTAAGCCCTTCTTGGAACTGAGGGTGGAAGTGAGCTGGACCCTGAAACAATGATAAAGATTAGGGCAGAAATAACCTGCACAAGACAACAGAACCAAATTCTCTCTGTCTCTGTCTCTGTCTCTCTCCCTCTCCCTCTCTTCTTCCCGCCCTCTCTAGTTCTTCCCCAGTGGGGAAGCCATCTGCACTGGTTCTGATGATGCCTCCTGTCGCCTCTTTGATCTTCGGGCAGATCAAGAGCTCATCAACTTTGCTCACGAGAGCATTACGTGTGGAATTACTTCAGTGGGTTTCTCCCGCAGCGGGCGCCTCCTCCTGGCCGGATATGATGATTTTAATTGCAATATCTGGGATAGTTTGAAAGCAGAGCGTGTGGGTGAGTCACGGCTACATTTCTGAGCATTTTTCTCTCACTTTTTTTACATTCACGGAAAAATGTGCATGGAGTAATGCATCCCCATTTGGGGACACGACCCAATATCATCTAAAATTAGAAGAATGAGAAACTGAGCAAAATCAAATATCACAGTTTCCTTTATTCCAACACAAAAAGTGTTCCTTTTTCCTGATCACTCTTTGGCCTTCAAGCTGTGAATAGCACAGCTCATTTCTACTCAATCTGTTGGTTATTGGAGGATGGTGGTTGGCATGTAGGCTGCATATTGTTCCTCTCTCACCCATCAAGAATGCAAGATGAGTTATACACCACTGCAGTTGGACTATCTCTTCATACATCCCCTTTTGGTATGGAGGCCCTTCCTCTGGATGACTGGGCCATCAGATGGGAGGTGAACGGCAAGCGAGGGTCTCCTATGCTACCCAAAATTTGGAACTCTACTCAAAGATCTGCTGAGTTTAGGCAAAATAATTTTCCTCCAAACTAATCCACTGCCTCTCAAAAATTGAAGGTCTTGTCTGTTTGTCTCATTAATGTTGCAGTTCTTATGGTGTTTTAATATTGTGTTTTAAACATTAAATTATCCACCTTAATCCTCATAGTAGTAGATTATGAACCGTTATTATTTAATCCTACAGGCCTCCTGTCTGGACACGATAATAGGGTGAGCTGTTTGGGAGTAACTGCAGATGGCATGGCTGCAGCGACTGGCTCTTGGGACAGTTTCCTGAAAGTTTGGAACTGAAGAAGCTGTGTGAAAAGAAAAGTGAATATGGCGAGGCTTTTTCAGATGTACCTTTGAGTACCACCATTGACATTTTTGTTCTATGCAGATATTGGTACATACCACGCTTACCTCCCTAAGGAGAAGCTCAGGGAAAGAATCCACACAGGTCAATTCTTCTGATACTCTTTGGAACCTTCCCCAAACTCAGGGGTCCCTTTCTGTGACTGCCTCCAGGTGTGACATCAGCAAGGTAGCAATTCCTACTTACTGTACCCAAATTAGAAACCCTCAAGAAACTTCTAAATGAATCCCTTATTTCCTGTCCCCTAACTTCTGATTTTCATGTTATGAATACCACAAAGACCTCAGACAATTATAGTGTGTCCTTGGACGTATCTTCAAGTGGTTTATCACAGCAAGTATTCTGCAATGAATTTTATTCACTTTTCTCTTGAAGAAATATATAGCTCATTGTTTTACTCTACTCATTGCCTGGGAAGGAGTTTGTTGCTCCTATTTTGAGCACCGGAGCCAGGAATACTTAATTTAATCTTATTGATTATCTATGTTAATTCCATATCTTGCACACTTAGCATTCCGGCATCCTTTAGGCTCCTCCAAGTCAGTGCTTTATGATGTAATTATTATAAAGTTGTTTTATAGCCCAGGCAAAATAAAGCTGAAATAATTGGATAGACTGGCTAAAGTTGCATTATTTGAGGCTATGTTCTGGGGCTCAGGCTCAAACAGAATTTTTCAGAATTCAGAACAATTATACAATTAAGCTCTGTATTGCATTATTAACTCTTTATTTTAATTAGATATAAAATACAGAATCTTAGAAATTGCAATAGGAACTTCCTGCTGTCATTTATAAGTAAATCTCTTGAGATGAATCTCTTTGAACATTTTGAATCTTCCTCATCTTTTTGCAGCCTGGCTCAAACTGCTGTTTATAAAATCCTAACATCTGTTGGCTCTTATGTCTAATTTTCTTCCAGTGGTGGGATTCAGCCAGTTCGCATCAGAACCGGTAGCTAATTTTTTGTTGCCCAGGCCCAGAATGGACTTCCGGTAGCGGCATCCACACAGAGAACCGGTTGTTCACATACTTGAATCCCACCACTACTTTCTTCCTGTTACTTCTCACAATCCTCATATATTACCATGGCATTAGAAAATCTCAAACAGAGGATTAGATAATTTTAAGAGCAGATAAATATATATCTTAATGAACGTGCTTTTGTCTGGGTAGTAAGACATTTTTGAGAAACAAGTTTAGTTTCCTTTGGAACAGAACAACCTTTGATTATTATATTCTGAAACCAACAGGAGTCATAGAACACTCTATACAGGATCATCAACATTTCCAAGTAATCTTTCACAGTAACAGTAACAGAAGCAAAACTATTCATTTTTAAAAATATGACCAAATTTTATTTGATACTCATACCTGATGAGATGAAAAACATTGAGGTCTCATAATTGATAAATCTGTAAGAGTTTGGCTATTCTTTTAAAAAAAATCATTTAATTTATGGTCTCCATTTATAGATTCCCACCAGCACATTATTATTACCGTTTTAGTTTGTGTTAACCCAGTAGTTGTGTTCTGTAAATCATAGTTTGATTTAAAGTAAACTATGACCTAATATATTGCCAACATACGCTGGATCATGGAGAAAGCTAGGGAGTTCCAGAAAAACATCTACTTTTGCTTCATTGACTATGCTAAAGTCTTTGATTGTGTGGATCACAACAAATTGTGGCAAGTTCTTACAGAGATGGGAATACCAGACCATCTTATTTGTCTCTTGAGAAACCTATATGCGGGTCAAGAAGCAACTGTGAGAACTGGACACGGAACCACTGATTGGTTCAAAATTGGAAAAGGAGTCCGGCAAGGCTGTATACTGTCGCCCTGCCTATTTAACTTATATGCAGAGCACATCATGAGAAAGGCAGGGCTAGATGAATCAAAAGTTGGAATTAAAATTGCCGGGAGAAATATCAACAACCTAAGATATGCAGATGATACCACTCTAATGGCAGAAAGTGAAGAGGAACTAAAGAGCCTCTTGATGCGGGTGAAGAAGGAGAGTGCAAAAGTTGGCTTGAAACTCAACATTAAGAAAACCAAAATCATGGCATCCGGCCCTCTCAATTCCTGGCAAATAGATGGGGAAGAAATGGAGGTAGTGACAGATTTTATTTTTCTGGGCTCCAAGATCACCGCAGATGGGGACTGCAGCCAAGAAATTAAAAGACGCTTGCTCCTGGGGAGGAAAGCTATGGCAAATCTAGACAGAATACTAAAAAGCAGAGACATCACCCTGCCAACAAAAGTACGTATAGTCCAGGCCATGGTTTTCCCAGTTGCAATGTATGGCTGTGAAAGTTGGACCATAAGAAAGGCTGAGCGCCAAAGAATTGAGGCCTTTGAACTATGGTGCTGGAGAAGACTCCTGCGAGTCCCTTGGACTGCAAGGCGTTCAAACCGGTCAGTCCTAGAAGAGATCAACCCCGACTGCTCTTTAGAAGGCCAGATCCTGAAGTTGAAACTCAAATACTTTGGCCACCTAATGAGAAGGAAGGACTCACTGGAGAAGGGCCTAATGCTGGGAAAGATGAAGGGCAAGAGAAGAAGGGGACGACAGGGAATGAGATGGCTGGATGGAGTCACTGAAGCAGTAGGTGTGAACTTAAATGGACTCCAGAAGATGGTAGAGGACAGGAAGACCTGAAGGAACATTGTCCATGGGGTCGCGATGGGTCGGACACGACTTCGCAATTAACAACAACAAATGACCTAATATATGTGAAAATCTCACAAATCCTACCCTATTTCTCTTCATCAAAGAATCATCAATCACCACCAAATCAGCAAATACGTTTTCACATTAGTAATCTTAATGACTCCAGTAAGTCATTCAACACTTTCTAAATCGAGAAATTGAAACAAAAATCCATATCCATATATTTTGCCAGGAAAATTGCATTTATGTATGTCTCTAAAGTTACTAAATTAAGCTTGATTTTGGGTAGAATTTTTAATTTTTATTCTATGTCAAAACTGTTTATATGTTACTCTAAGATATGTTTCCCTAATTCATAAATTTATTCCTGTTTGCATGATATCTCAATCAAAACCAATATTGCAAGACAGATCAATTACATCACTGCTTTTGCAATGGGCTAAGAAAGTGATAATGATTTGCCTAAAGTCACCAATTTTTTTGGGTGCCTTTATGTAATAATTGAAGAACTGTTTCCTGGTTCTCTTAAGCATTAATCAAAAGCTTTATGAACGACTTCTAAAAACATTCAGTTTTAATTATTTATCAAATGTATAGATCCTCCCATCTCACCAGGAGCAACTCTGGACAGCTTAGAACAATCAAATAAAACAATATATAAAATCATACAATATAAAACTATAAAACAATAATTCTTAGAATATTAAATTAAAATATATTTGACTTATTTTGATCATTGTCCCCCATTCACAAGTTTGTGGGAGGATACCCTATGACAGTGATGGTGAACCTTTTAGAGACCGAGTGCCCAAACTGCAACCCAAAACCCACTTATGCATCGTCGAGTGCTGGGTGGGGTGGCCCATTGGGTGGGCATTGCTGCGGTGGTAACAGCAGACTGGGTGGGACTAAAAAGTTCAATCAATCAATTCCAAGTTTGCAAGATCTTTTTTTTCCCCGCGAGAAGTTGAAATTGACTGATTGATTGAACTTTTTTTTTTTGCACACAGCGGCAGAGGCCTAAAGTGAAAAGGTTTTACAAAACTCAGCTGAAGGCCTAGGACTGTGGCAACAGCGCGCATACCCACAGAGAGGGCTCTGAGTGCCACCTCTGGCACCCGTGCCATAGGTTCGCCACCACTGCCCTATGAAAAGACAGAAAGGACATAACAGTGTCTTCTAATATTCACCCCACGCACTGTGCGATATTTGTAACTCCATGCAGCCGAGGATATGAAGAGAAACAAAGCATATCCCTTAGTCTAAGGGCATTCAGTCTCTAAAAGGTTCGCCATCACTGATCTAAGCTTTCATTTGGAAAAGGTTAAGGGAAGCATTAAAAAAAATCATTTACTTCTTTAGGATACTTGAAAGATATATGTCCTGTCTTTGCTTCATCATACAGGTAGTCCTCAGCTTATGACCACAGTTGGGACTGGACTTTCAGTCATTAAGCAATGTAATTGCTAAGGAAATCATTACATGACCAGACTGATATTACAACCGTTTTTACCAGGGTTAAGTGAATCAATGCATCATTAAGTGAACATGGCTTCCCCAATTGACTTTGCATGTCAGAAGCTTGCTGGGGAAGGCTGCAAACTGTGATCACCAACTGCAAGATGCTATAAACTTCATAAATGAGAACCAAGTGCTCAGATTGCAATTATGTGACCGCAGAGGTGGTACAATGGTTGTAACTTTGAGACCTGGATGCAAGTCAATTTTTCTGAGGGTGTTGTAACTTTGAACTGTCATTAAATCAGATAGTAAGCTGAGGACTGCTTGTACTGCATTAATTTATATGTTACAACTTAAACACAAGCTGTGCATATATGATTGTCCTGCGTATTGCTATCATGGGAGCCAGACCATATTCCATATTGCTCTGGCTCCCATAATCCCAGGTAACAAAAGGGTACTATTTAGTCTACTACCCAAAGACTGAAGGCAAATAGGATACTTGTTCACTAAAATCCTCATTTTGGTCAGTGAGGTACGTCAGCTAGCAGTTTCCACATTTCCTCCCACCCCACACTGTTCTTCTACCAGGGCTCTCCAAATTTGGCAACCTTCAACTCCCAGAATTCTTCAGCCAGCCATGTTTTTGAAGTCTGGATTTCATGTCCAATATTAGCTTCTGCAAAGAATAGTTTTAGCCCCACTCTAACAGATGTACTCCAGGGGTAGTTTTTTCCAGCTGTGGTGAAAGTTTTAAAATAATGCAGCACAGAACCACAATCTCATTCTAAAGTGAGGTTTATTTTGCAGACACAGACATTTCAGATGACATTTTTTTAAAAAAAGTAGTTACACAGAAGAATCTATACATTATGGAATCTAAATATTAAAACCAAAGAAAGAGAAAGTGGGCAAGAAGCAAAAAAAAAAAAAAAAAAATCATGCTACTTCATGGTCTTCATATGTGAGCCATCAGACCTTCATACTAAAGGGCAGTAATCCTCAGAGCATCTGAAACTAATTTTCCACCCAAGGACACTCTCGATTCTCCTTATTCATGGGATCCCAACCATAGATATCTGCTGGAAAGTTTGATGCGGAGCTTAAGGTTCCATCCTTTGGCTCTCTTTGATTATCTGTCACTGATGAACTCCTTTTACTCTGGGAAAAAAAAAGTATCTTGTTGGGTTGAAGAAATGCTAACATAATTGACTGCTCTATCTGAGGGCAGCCAGATTTACACGTTGTATTCACACAGTGTGATTAACTTGATTTACTCAAAGTTTCCTGAATTTGCACAATACAAAGAGAAAAATCACAGGTTGGCTTCACCGAATGCATGAAACTCAATTTTGGGCAGCCACCCATTGGAAGAGGTATTCCAAATTTTAAATTACAGCACTGCAACATAAATGCCTTTCAGGCTACAAATCAATAATGCAGGTATAAAAACATGTACATATACCTCTTCTATCA